AGAGCAAAAAAAAAAAAAAAAAATCAGAGATAAAGAGGGGTATTTCAGAATAATAAAAGGGCTAAATTACCAATCAAGAAGATATAGTGATCGTAAATTAGTTTGCACCTAAAAATAGAGTTTCAAAACAAACAAAGCAAAAACTGATAGAGCTGAAAGGAGAAATGAACAAATTGGTAATTATATTTGGAGACCTCAACGCATCCTTATTAGGAGTCAATAGAGCAAATAGGCAGAAATCCTGGAAGGATGTAAAAGACTGAACTACACCTTTAGTCCCATCCATTAAATCAGTCAATGTAATTCACCATATCAAAAGAATAAAAAGAAAAACCACACGATTAACTAAATTTTTGCAAACAATATTTGACAAAATTAAGCTCCTTTCATGACAAAATATGTCAAGAAAATAAGAATAGGAAATGTCAGAAATTTTGTTCACCTGATAAAGGACATCTTCCAAAAACTTACAGCTAACATCATACTTCGTGAAGATCTCAATGCATTCTTTCCAAGATTAGCAATTAGACAAGGTGTGTACATTTTCATCATTTCTATTTAATATCAATACTAGAGTTCCTAGGCAGTGCACTAAAGCAAAAGAAAGTGAAAAAGAGAAGAAAGAGAAAAAAGAAGGAAAGATAGGGCAAACACATTGAAAAGGAAGAAATAAAGTTATCACTATTCACATGTGATGTTATTGTGTATAAAGAAAATCTTAAGGAAAAATTGCTAGAATAAATGAATTTAGCACAGATGCAAGATAAAAGGTCAACATACAAAAATATATTTTTAATACTAGCAATGAGCATTTGGAAACTAAAATTAATGGAAATAACACTAAAATTAATTTCATACAATATGAAATACTGGGCTGTAAATCTAACAAATATATACAGGATTAGTATACTAGAAACGACAAAACATGGATTAAAAGAAATCAAAGACCAACATAAATGGAGAGATAATATATTCATGGATAGGAAGACTCACTATAGCTAAGATACAAATTCTTCCCATGTGGACCTATAGATTTAATGCAGTTTCAACAAAAATCCAGGTTGGGTTTTTATTGTTTGGAGACATAAACTAATTCTAAAATGTATATGGAAAAACCAAAGGAACTAGAATAGCTGAAACAACTCTTAAGGAGAAGAATCAATTTGGCAAAACTATGCTACCTGATTTTAAGACTTACTTTAAAACAACAGTAATCAAGACAGTGTGATATGGCAAAGGGATAGATCTATGAATCAAAGGAACAGAATGGAAAATACAGAAACAGACCCACATCAGTATGTGTAATTGAGCCCTGACAAAGGCTCATGAGAGAAAGGATGACCTTTCCATCAGATTGTACTGGAATAATTGGGCATTTGTATATAAAAAAGAAGCTGGATTTAAACTTTACAACTCATACAAAAATTAGCTCAAAAAGAGTCATAGATCTAAATGTAAAAGTACAATTATAAACACTTTAGAAGAAAAATTATAGGGGTAAGTATTTGTGACCTCTTAGGCAAGAAACACCAAAAATATGGCATATAAAAGGAAAAGAAAGATAAATAAGACCTTATCAAAACTAAAAATTTTGCTCAGTAAGACACCTTGCTAAAAGGATAAAAAGACAAATTTCAGACTAGGAGAGAGTATTTGTAAATCACATATTTGATAAAAGACCTCTATTCAGAATACATTTTTAAAAAACCTCTCAATTTCAACAGTCAGAAACAACCCAGTGGAGATAAAATGAGCATAAGATTTCAACAGATGCTTCATCAAGTTACGATATACAGATAGCAAAAAGAAACACGAAAAGATACTCAAGATTATTATCCATTAGGGAAATGCAAATTAAAACCATCATGAGATGTTTCTACACACTTATTATACATGGTAAAATTTAAAATCTGACAGTATCAAGAGCGGATGAGGATGTGGAACTACTGGAATACACATATTTTGCTGATGTGTAATATATTTTTGAATGCAAAACAGTACACAGAGCTATTCTGGGAAACAGTTTGGCAATTTCTTACAAAATTAAGCGTGCATTTTCCATGTGACCCAGCAATCCAATCCTATTCTTAGATATTTTATTATGGAGAAATGAAAGCTCTGTACATGTCTGTTTACAGTAGCTTTACTCATAATTATGAAAAAATGGAAAGAACCCAAGGGTCTTTTACCAGGTGAATGCCTCCATGTAAAGCAGTCTATGTGGCAATAAAAATAAATGAATATTGGTAGATGTAATAACATGGATAAATTTCAAGGGCATTAGGCTAAGGGAAAGGAGACAATCTCACTGTGTGATTCCCCTTATACCGTCCTTGAAAAGTCTAAATGAGAAAGACAAAGAATAGCTCAGTCGTTTCTAGGTGACAAGGGTTGAGGGCAGCTAGAGAGAATAATTTGAGGGTAATAAGACTGTTCTCTCCGTTGATCATAGTGGCAGTTACATGAATCTGTGTGTGTGAAATCTCATAGAGCTGTAAACCAAAAAAAGTCATTTTACTGCATGTTAATGTTTTAAAATTTTTACTGTAAATTATTTACTAGAATTGTTATAAAATAATACATGTCCTATGGGCTTCTACTACAACTTTCCTTTTTAAAATTTGTTTTATTTCAGTTGCTTGGGGTACAAACGATTGTTGGTTATCTGGATGAATTGTACAGTGGTGAAGTCTGGGCTTTTTGTGTATACCTGCCATCCTAATGGTGTACATTGTATTCAAAGGGAAGTATTTCATCCCTTACCCCCTTCCCACCTTCCCCTCTTCCGAGTCTCCAGTGTCGATAATACCACTCTGCATAACATGGCATACCAAAAGCTTAGCTCCCGCTTATAAGTGAGAACACGTGGTATTTGATTTTCTGTAGCTAAGTTACTTCACTTAGGATAATGGCCTCAATTCCATCCAAGTTGCTGCAAAATACATTACTTTGTTCTTTTTATGGCTGAGTATGGTGTGTGTGTGTGTGTGTGTGTGTATCTGAACCATTGCAGAAGGACTATAGGTATATGTCACATTTTGTGACATATATATAGAGGACTATGTATATGTCACATTTATGTATAGATTAAATATATATATGGTAAATTTGTATATGGTATATATAAGATATATATCTACCTATCTATCTATATCACATTTTCTTTATCCACTCACTGGTTGATAGGAACTTAGGTTGATTCTATATCTTTGCAATTGTGAGCTGTGCTGTGATAAACATGCTTGTGCAGATATCTTTTTTACATAATGAACTCTTTTCCTTTGAGTGGATACCCAGTAATGGGATTGGTGAATTGAATGGTAGATCTACTTTCAGTTTTTTGAGGAATCTCCATACTGTTTTCCATAGTGGTTGTATTAATTTGCATTCCCATCAGCAGTGCATAAGTGTTCCCTTTTCCCTTATATCCATGCCAATATTTATTGTTGTGATGATTAATACTAGTTGTCAACTTGATTGGATTGAGGGCTGCCTAGATGGTTGGCAAACTACTGCTTCTGAGTGTGTCAGTGAGGGTGTTGACAGAGGAGATGGACATCTGCATCGATGGACTGGGAGAGGAAGACCCATCCTCGATGTGGGTGGGCACCATCCACTCGGCTGCCAGCTTGGCTAGGACAAAGCAGGTGGAGAAAGGTGAGAGGGATGACCTTGCTTGCTGGCTCTCCTGGCTTCTTTTTTTCTCCCATGCTGGATGCTTCCTTCTACTCCTCCTGCCCCTGGACATCAGGATCCAGATTATTTAACCTTTGGACTCTGGGACGTGTACCAGTGGCTTCCCTGGGGGCTCTGAGGCTTTTGCCCAGCAGACTGAAGGCTGCACTGTCAGCTGCTTGGTTTTGAGGCTTTTGGACTCAGACTGAACCACTGCTGACCTCTCTCTTCCTCAGCTTGCAGATGGCCTCATGCTGGGCTTTGCCTTGTAATTTTGTAAACCAATTCACCCTAATAAACTCTCTTTCATATATACATAGATCCCATTAGTTCTGTCCCTCTAGAGAACCCGGACTCATACAATTGTCTTTTAACTTTTCAATAATGGCCATTCTGGCTGGAATAAGGTGACATCTCATTGCTTTTTAATTTGCATTTCTCTGATGATGAGTGATGTTGAACATTTTTTCATATGTTTGTTGGCCATTTGTGTATCTTCTTTGGGGAAGTATCGGTTCATGTTGTTTGCCCAATTTTTAGTGGGATTATTTGTTTGTTTCTTGTTAATTTGCTTGAATTCCCTGTAGATTCTGGATATTAGTCCTTCACTGGAGGTACAGTTTGTAAATATTTTTTCCCATTCTGTATGTTGTCTCTTTACTCTGCTGATTATTTCTTTTGCTGTGCAAAAACATTTCAGTTTTCCTAGATATGATAAATTTGAAAGTCTCAGATTACAAAATTAATGTATACAAATCAATAGCACTACTATGTATGAACAACAATCAAGCTGAGAATGAAATCAGGAACTCAATCCCATTTACAATAGCTACAAAAAATATCTAGCAATATACCTAGCCAAGGAGGTGAAATAGCTCTGCAAGGAGAATCACAAAACACAGCTGAAAGAAATCATAGATTACACAAACAAATGGAAGAACATCCCATGCTTGTGGGCCAGAAAATGACCATACTGCCGCAAACAATGTATAGATTCAATGCAGGTTCTATCAAAGTGCCAACGTCATTTTTCACAGAATTAGAAAAAACAATCCTAAAATCCCTACACAGCCAAAAAAGATCCTGAATAGCCAAAGCATCCAAATCAAAAAGAACAAATCTGAAGGCATCACATTACCCAACTTCAAATTATTCTACAAGGCTGTAGCAACCAAAACAGCATGGCACTAATATAAAAATATCATAGACCAATGGGAACAGAATAGAGAACCCAGAAATAGAGCCAAATATCTACAACCAACTGATCTTTGACAAACCAGTGAAAAACAGACATTGGGGAAAGGACACCTTACTCAATAAATGGTGCTGAGAAAACTAGATAGTCATGTATAGAAGAATGAAAGTGTCTCTCACCATATGTAAAAATCAACTCAAGATGGAGTAAAGACTTAATCTAACACCAAAACCTATAAAAATTCTGAAGAAAACCTAGAAAAAACTCTTCTGGACATTGTCCTAGGCAAAGGATTTATGACAAAGACCTCAAATGCAAATGCAACAAAGGCATGTTAATTTTTAAAATAAAACAAAAATGATATAATGTTATAAGAATGCCTGGCTCATACGTATATACAATACTTCTTGGTTTCATCCCTCTTTTTGCTAATTAAAAACATTATTCAAAAAATTCCATTGTATTAATGTCAGATGAGTAAACATTTGTGACCAGCAACACAAAGGGGCCACCCCAGTTTCTAAGCAGCATCCCAGCCTCTACTGTCACCTGTATGATACCAGAAGGGCTCCCTGCAGTTTGTTTTTGTTTTGTTTTTGTTGTTGCTGTTATTTTGAGACAGATCCCCACACTGTTGCCCAGGCTGGAGTGCAGTGGTGTGATCTCAGCTCACTGCAACCTCTGCCTCTTGGGTTCAAGTGATTCTCCTGCCTCAGTCTCCCAAGTAGCTAGGATTACAGGCACCTGCCACCACACCCAGTGAATTTTCTTTTCTTTTTTTCTTTTTTTGTATTTTTAGTAGAGATAGAATTTCACTATGTTGACCTGACCTTGTGATTCACCTGCCTTGGCCTCCCAAAGTGCTGGGATTACAGGCGTGAGTCACTGCACCCGGCCTGCTCCCTGTAGTTTACCTCACCACCCTGTGTCCCAGCCTCAGGAGGGCCTGCTGCCCTCTCATAAACTCACTGTGGTTGGGTTTTGGCAGCTGATAATGGTCATGACACCTCTAATGGAGATTCTGGAGAGACGAGGTCAAAAGTAGCCTGACTCCACCCTGCCAACTCTTTGAGCTACTTTTTAAACTTCTGTCCCTATGATGTATTCCTCCCAACCTGCTATCCATACTTCAATTAGGAGCCCTAAGGGGACAGCGGGTCTCTGAGTCACCTCAGTATCTCTAGAGCCCGGTCCAGACGAGGCTGTGGATGAGGCAGAAAGATGCTGAGCAGGACAGCCCTGCCAGGGTGGTCATGTCCTCAGACCCCAAAGGAGAGCTCTCTGAGGGTCAAGACCATGATTTCTCTAACCTGACAAGCCCTAGTGGGTTCCACTGATGGTAGTGATGGTGGTGCAGAAGGCAGCATCTAGATCTGCTCTCGGCTGAAGTTAATGTATGGCCAAGGGTAGGGCTATTGCTTGCCTTCCTCTAGCAGAGGAAAGGGATTCTAGGAGGTATTAAAAAATTAGAAAAAATACTCAGTGCCACTTGATAAAGCATTCAGAACCACTGAGATAGCTATAGGGATTTTGCAGTGGGAAAGATATTGCACTTAACTCCAAATACAGCACAGGCAAGTGAGAACTTACAGCCAAGGAGCAGGGTGGGAGGAGGCGGATGGAAAGATACTAGGAGGAAGCATCAGGGCTCAAGGTATTCTGGTTAATGTGACCTAACAGAATTCTTGCTGAGGACAGGCCAGGGTAACCAGACATCACCTGGAGGATGGTGGAGGATGAGGAACCCAGTCAGACAGTGAGGGTGATCAGATATCAAAGGTGGGGGGAGTCTTGATAAACCTGAATTTTTCAAGGAAGTCCACAGCTGGGCTTGGGTGGTGGGCAATTCAAGAGCCTAAAGTTTGGACAAGCAAAAAAATCATTGTCTGAGAGCAACATGTGCACCCTGGACCCAAGCCTGCTCTTCCTCTACCCTACTAATGAAGTGCCCTTGTGCTTCCCGGTGACTCTCCATGAAGCAGGAGCTAGAGAACAAATCAGCACAAAATAATATTTTCACTAAATTTCTGCTCTCCAGCCTGTGCAGTTGTATCAACTTGTTAGTAGGCCTCTGGGAACGCCATGGTGCATACTGATGTTGGCTCATGCCAATTACGAGGCTGAGTGATGAAATAGCCTTGTATCATTTCACCAGCGCATGGGAACAGCAGGTGAATGCTATAGTTTATGATTTTCAATTATAAATCAAATAGACTGAGTTCTCGCTTCTCTTAATAAAGGCTGTAAAAGCGCTGAAGTGTGGACAAGCTTCTGCCTGGGAAAGAAAAACAGGTTGAGTCTATAAGCTGTCACTTGTGTGGTGTTTTTGTTTTTGCCACCATCTGATGTATTTAGCATTTGGAAGGACGTTTTAGAATATGTGCACTGGGAGGAGCGGGAGGCAGAGGGTCCTATTAGTTACCTTGAATGTGCTTGGACAATATACACAACAGGTAGAGGCATCTTAATGTCCCTCTGCTCCTCCTAATCCAGTGTTTGTGGCTTCATGGGAGGTTCCTCAGCAGGAGAGGCCAGGGCATTTACAGTGGACCTCTGGGGGTTGTTCTCCCACTGGACCAAGATATGTCATGGTGTTTTGGGTTTGTCATTGGTTCAAGAGTGGATGGAAAACCAGAGAGAATGTGGAGCAATGCCAGTTCTGTCCATCTTGAGAGAATTTGATGGTTTCCTTTGAGCTTCTTGACTCTGCTTGGATAAGCCAATTAATCCTGGACAATGCTATGGGTTAAATGTACCCTCCAAAACACATGTTGAAATTTAATTGCCATTGTAATAGTGTTTAATAGTGTTGAGAAGAGATGATTAATGGATTATTCTCATTATTGCATGAGTGGGTTAGTTATTGCAGGAGCTGGTTTGTCTTCACAGGAATGGGCTCCTGATAAAGGGTGTGTGAATCCCCCATTTTCTCTCTGCCTCTCACCCTGGTTCATTATATGATACTTCTCTATGGGATGACTCTCGGGTGCCAGAACCGTGCTCTTTGACTTCACAACCTCCAGAGCTGTGAGCCAAATAAACCTCTGTTGTTTATAAATTGCCTATTTTGTTGTATTTTGTTACAGCTGTAGAAAATGACTAAGACAGGCAATGCACCTAACTTCTCCATTCCCAACTTGCTTCATCTACAAATGGTGATGGTAATGAATATCGTGACATAAAACATGGCTACTTACAAACCAATCCCCGGCAGCAGCTTATAAGGGGAAAAAATAGACTGGTTCAAGAGACAAGAGAACACCTGAGATGTGTTAGATGAAGGATGGAAAGCCAGTATGTGGGCTATTGGTGTAAAACACCTAAAGATGTAGAATTGAAGCAAACCTGGAAGACAAGGAAGATGAGTTCCTGCCTTGAAGAAACAGCTCATCTATCAAGTGGAAATGGCTTACCACATTAAATTTGAAATATCCAGTGAAAATTGTAAAGTCTAAGGATAAAACATATCCAGTGAAAATTGTAAAGTCTAAGGATAAAAAACACTTGGTAAAATCTCATTAGAAGAGAGGAGTTAGGATAAAATGAACAAAAATTCTTTTGGCTTCAGATTTCTCCTTGGCTACATTTAATGCCCAAAGACAATGGGACCATCTCTGCCAGAAGCTTATGAAGTGGGTTAATTGGTTTCCACAGTAATAAGTCAAGGGCTAGGAATTTCAAGACCTTATAGCCTTGCTCGTCTTATAGTCTTGCTCTGCACAGGGTCTCTTCAGGAGAGCATGTGCAAGAAAAGACAGCTGAAGGAGGGTGACTGTTGGTCCCCAGAGCAGGTGTCTCTCAGAGCTGGAACAGGGTAACTCCCCACTTCGTGTCCCCCAAATCCTTGATAGCTAAGTCTACTGAGAAGGGAGCTGGAGCAATGAGAAAATGGAGACTTGATGGTATTAGGATTTGGGGCCTTTGAGGGGTGATGAGATTGTGAGGGTGGAACCATCATGAATGGGATTCATGTCCTTATAAAAGTGACTCCAAAGAGCTGCTTTGTGCCTTCCACCATGTGAGGGCACAGTGAGATGGTGGCATTCTTCAGTCTGGAAGAGGTCCTCACTGAACCCAAACATGCTGGCACTCTGACCTTGAACTTCCAGGCTCCAGAACTGTGAGAAATAAATTTCTGCTGCTTACAAGCCACCCAGCCTATGGTGGTTTGTAATAGCAGCCTGAATGGACTAAGACATCTTTCTTTTGAACTCTTAGGACTTAAAAGCCAAGGCTATGTAGCGATTTCCCAGTCCAGGAACTTCTGTGAATCTGAGGAGTTCTTTAGAAGACTGTGACCCAGTACTTCCTCATTTGTCATACAGGCAGCACTAAAATAGACAGTGTCAAATGAAAACAAATGTGTATTAAAATAAGGAGAGACTTCATTCAAAAGGATTATTGTGATAAAAGGAAGGGGGCTGTTGTAGGGAGAACAATCTAATGGTTACAGCTGCAGGCATCTCAAAGTTCTGGCAGAAAGAAACTTTCTTTTATGTGGAGAACCAAACAAGGTGAAAAAATAATTGGGTGTGGGGGAGTGGGCGGTGAGATCAGACAGTTTATCAGTCAGGGAAAGTCTTTCCTTGCAGTCATCGACTTCTGGGGAGGGACTATTTAGGAGGGCCTGTTTGCTGGCTTAGGCTGAAGGAGGGTCAACTTTCAGGATCCTGAGGGAAGGAGAGAAGCTAAACTAGAGTTTAGTCAAATCAGTTGTTCTGATTGGTTAGTGGGGTAACAGTTCAGGTCATCATTAAGAGGTACAGAAGTAGAATTTGAAGGGTGTGTCTGGCCTTGTTCTAGGTAAACAAGGGAGCATCCATGAGTCTTACCTGAATCATGTGGTGAGGGGATCTTCTTTGTCACAAGCAGTTTCCTGGAACACAAAAGGGTGAGATGATTTCCTAATAGTCATTGTTTTCTAGGAGCTCAGGGCTCAGGTAAAGTTCAACATTGTCAACAATTTAGGTCCTAATGGTGATGATGATGGTGATGATGATGGTAATGATGATGATGGTGATGATGGTGATGATGATGATGGTGTGATGATGATGATGGTTTGATGATGGTGGTGATGGTGATGGTGGTGGTGATGGTGATGAGGGTGATAGTGGTGATGATAGTGGTGATGGTGATGATGATGGTGTGAGGATGATGGTTTGATGGTGGTGATGATGGTGATGGTGATGGTGGTATGATGATGATGGTGATGATGCTGATGGCATGATGATGATGGTGATGATGGTGATGGTGATGATGATGGTGATGATGATGATGGTTTGATGGTGGTGATGATGGTTTGATGGTGGTGATGATGGTGATGGTGAT